AAGAGCGACAACTCTGTGGAAATCACAATGAGTTAAGAACAATACTTTTTAAATTTAATACAAAAACAGAACTGTTTAATTTTCCTACAACAACAATAATACTTAAGCACACCTTCTTATTTTCATATATAAAGTTTAACAGCTTCAAATCTTTCAATATTACATGCAATCAAGAACTAAAGTGTTTTAACAAAATATTTATTGTTGAGCAAATTCTGTCTCCTTGATTATTTCTCTTGTTTTTGCTTACACATTCGTAACGAAAGTAAAAAATGTACCGGTTGATCTAGGCCGTCAATACCGCTACACGTGTATAAAAGCAGTCAATTCAACACACCACTTGGAAAAACCGATGTGCAAAAGAAACCAAGCACACTTTTTTTGGTGATATAACGACACAGAAAAAAAAAACAAAAAACATTCTAGAATTTCCCGGCGTAAAAGAAAAATCAACCGCAAAAACTACACTATCGTCGACATCGCTGATAATGTTGTTGGAGGAGATACCCTACCTACATGATAATTTAAAAAGCATCAACCTTCGTTGTGTGGCCCGTAAGAAAAAACGAAAGAAAGAAAGAAAAAACGAAAGAAAGAAAGAAAAAAAAAACGAAAGAAAGAAATAAGAAAGAAAGAAATAAGAAAGAAAGAAATAAGAAAGAAAGAAATAAGAAAGAAATAAGAAAGAAAGAGAAAAAAATAAGAAAGAAAGAGAAAAAAATAAGAAAGAAAGAGAAAAAAATAAGAAAGAAAGAGAAAAAAATAAGAAAGAAAGAGAAAAAAATAAGAAAGAAAGAGAAAAAAATAAGAAAAAAAGAGAAAAAAATAAGAAAAAAAGAAAGAAAAAAATAAGAAAAAAAGAAAGAAAAAAATAAGAAAGAAAGAAAAAAATAAGAAAGAAAGAAAAAAATAAGAAAGAAAGAAAGAAAAAAATAAGAAAGAAAGAAAGAAAAAAATAAGAAAGAAAGAAAAAAAAAAAGAAGAAAGAAAGAAAAAAAATAAGAAAGAAAGAAAGAAAAAAAATAAGAAAGAAAGAAAGAAAAAAAATAAGAAAGAAAGAAAGAAAAAAAATAAGAAAGAAAGAAAGAAAAACAAAATAAGAAAGAAAGAAAGAAAAACAAAATAAGAAAGAAAGAAAGAAAAACAAAATAAGAAAGAAAGAAAGAAAAACAAAATAAGAAAGAAAGAAAGAAAAACAAAATAAGAAAGAAAGAAAAACGAAAAAACAAAACAAGCGAAGGAGCAAAATGAGTGAACTAAGCCTTTATCTTTTATCCACTCCAAATCCCTACACACACACTCGACATGGAACAAGACAGCCTACTAGCTTCAGCTTCCGTTGATACTATATCCAAATTACAAACTTTTTTTACGCTCTTTTCAAGGAGGCAGTTATTCAGATGCACAAGATAACAAAGCCAAAAATATTTGCTAATCTTTACAACCTCATACCACTTTCAAACAAATGGAATAATAGTGCGCCAACATAGAAGACTAAAAACAAAGTGGCTAGAAAACGGAATTAGATAAACGCCCCTACCAATAGTTCTTGTTGGAATTAGATATGTACCGAATGAAGACAATATTTCGCCTGTCATCGCTGTCATTTGAATCCAATTACAACTTTCAAAACCACTAATAGAACATTATAGTTCTCGGTCATTTATGTGCCACGCCACTGACGAGGCAGATTTTTTCCCGCAGTAGATTGCCATTTCTTTCTGCGGTAGACCAGTTGCTATCCAAGGCTATAGGACCCGGGCTGTCCTGCTATTTACCCATAGCTGGGTGAAGAAGAAGAGGATTCATATCTTTCCCAAGGGTTTTAGCACGTAACTGAATGTAAATGATTCGACTGGAATTCAAACTCAGCTCTCCGATTCCTCCATCTGGGTTAGATGGATAGGTTACAATAAAATTTATATTTTAATATGAATACTACCTTATTAAAATTGAGATTTAGTATCAAGTGAAATGTAAAATAATTAATTGTTATGGATATACATAACATTTAATTATGGATTAGTAGCAGTCGTAGTAGTGTTGGAATAAGGCCACAACCTGGAAAAGCTACACGTTAAATATATATCGTTAATTAAAGCAGAAAGAAATTTCCTAAAATGAAATTGTATAGAAAGCATTTTCATCTGTAGATCATCCACAGTAAATTTGCCTCAGATACTTACATTTCACTTTTCTTAGCAGATCTATTATCACAGTGTGGGAAGAAGAAACTAAATGAAATCGGCTTGACTCGTCGTTATTTAAAAGCTAAACGTAATAGAATTATTCTTATTCATTGCATCTTAATACTCTTACATTTCAATTTTTTTAGCAGATATTCTATTATCACAATGTCAGATATTTAATAATATAACTGATGGAAACAAACTAAAAGAAAGTAAATGTAATCGGCTTGACTATATAACCAAAACATATATTAAGAAAAAAACATTTAAAATTTTAAAATGTCAGCATCCCCTCGCTTTTCCTAAGGCCATGACGTGTCTCGTTTCTCCTCCGAACGTACTACTTCGTCCCAGGCGAACCACATTTTTGCATGGAACAATATCTTTAACTCTCCCAAGTCATGTTAGAACTCTTCTCAAATAGACATCTCTCAAACTCTTTAAGAGAACATTATACACACCGTATATACGACTAAGAACATTTCTTTATGCTCCATTCCTTTTTTTATATTCTTTCTATTTAAGGCTCGGTGGTGTAATCGATAGCGGCTCGGACTGAGAAATCGGAGAGCCGAGTTCGAATTCCAGTCCAGTTCATTTTCATTGGAAAATGTATGAATCCATATATCCTTGCCCCACCTATATGCAAATAGCAGAACAGACTGGGCCCTATAGCCTTGGTTGGCAAGCAGTCTAGGAGAACGAAAACTGAGATAAAACCACCTTGTAGGTCTTACCCGTTTAACTTCTGCGAGGAGGAATGGGACAAACCTCAACATCCCCGATGCATAAGGAACCGAGCAAACCAATACACTATTCTGCTTTGCATGCTACCATGAACCACAATTGTGAGATGGAAGGGAGTGGTAACAACCACGGCGGTGCAAAATGCGCTAACTAAATGAAGCATGAAGGCATTAAAATGGTGCGTTAATTTGTAGGAACATTGTTGTTGTTATTATCAATAAAAATAAAATAATAATAATGAAAATAAATAAAATAAAATAAAATTTAATCTTTTAAAATAACTAATAAAAATAATAAAATTACTCCCAGCATGCCACAGGCACTGTTCCTGCCGGAAGTACAGATATCCCACCAAAAGACGTGAGATTCAGTCTTCACACAAGAAGTGTAGTGATGACAACACGATAGTGCTCGGCAAAGAGAAATATGCCGTTCTGGGACACGACTGTGGCCGGCAAAGAGAAAAATGCCGTTCTGGGACACGACTGTGGCCGGCAAAGAGAAAAATGCCGTTCTGGGACACGACTGTGGCCGGCAAAGAGAAAAATGCCGTTCTGGGACACGACTGTGGCCGGCAAAGAGAAAAATGCCGTTCTGGGACACGGCAGTTCTCGGCAAATAGAAAGAAATAGGGTCAAGGTGGCGGCCGGTAAAGAGAAAATTATCGCTTGCAAGACAAAGCTTTTTTTGAGACAATGTAGTCGCTAGCAGAAATGGCTAATTATGGCACACGACCATCACAGTCATAAAGAAAAATATATTTATTATGAAAATCTACAGATAAGAAAATCGTGGCTCGATCGCACGCTGTTTTCAACCTCTAATACTAAATACTATCTACTAACATAGTTTTCACCTTTCTGTGACGCTGCAAATTTTTATCCAACTCACACAAACGGATTCCATATCACAAGCTCAAATAGATAATAATACCCTGACCATTTCTCAAAGTTCGAACATGTTCAGACGATTCAAAATACTCCTTCAGAATCAACATAAACGATTTAACCTAAAACATATGCCTTCAAATACTTGGTTGCAAAATCTTTTGCGGCTTGATGTCATACATCTGACGAACGGTTGATATGTTTATCAACTAAAATGGGAGAATAACAACTGGTTTCCGAATTTTCGAAATATTCTAATTATGTTTGATATTAGTTAATACGTGTCCTCTCATATCTTTCCATCTATCAGTCCGTTCATTATCTATATATGCGTCTTTTGTTTTCGTATCTAAGTCACCATCTTTTAACTGAACTTTTACCCACCCCTCACCTCTCAGGCACTTAAGAAATTACTCATTGATTTTTTTTTTATGACAGTCACCGAGAAGAATGCAAATATATGCACGCGCAGAAAAAGAAAAAAAAAAACAAGTAAAAAAATAACCCATCTTGATTATCTTGGTATAGCAAACAAACATACCCCCAAAAAGTAATGTAATAAACCAAACGCTACGGTAATATTGAAAGAAAAACAGAAGATCACTATTTACATTATTCGGACTATTGTCTTCATTGCCATATTTATCACAACGTTTCGGCCGTTGTACGCTCCAGCCTTCTTCAGGTGGTTGGAATGTCGAACTGAAGCCTTTATTTCTCTCACTCGGGTACACTGTTCTAGTTTCACGTACCATTTTTTTTTTTTTTTTTTTTTGCTATGTTACACGTTGTTCCGTATGTAAATATATAAAGTTCATGTGTGCATTGAATTCGTTTTCTTTTTAAGATGTTGACCAATTCAATCAAATGCCGTTACAACTCATACCGCCCCCCCCCATTTTGTTACAATTTATTCTTGACACTAACTTAATGGGTGAATATGTTTCAAAGTTTCCAAATGCGATTAGCTCTATTCACGGATTCGTTTTTTACGGCTTATCAACCCTTTTTCGGTTATTTAAAGCCAAATGGGGAGATAATGGTTTAGTGATACAAGTTTTACTAATTAACCCATGCTGGGAGAGAAGACTGCGCGTAAGTGAATATAACGGACCCAGCTGAAATTGGAACTCAGTTCTCCATTTAACAATTCATTGCACCACCTGCGCATCCAGGTTTACAGCACCTGGTATTTCTAACTGGTCACTTCTCTAGGTACTGACCAGGCTCGATGTTGCTTAACTTCGGTGATCGTACGAGAACTGGTGTTTGAACGTGTTGGGGGTCGTAAGCCTTGTGATTAGCTGTAGTGTGTGCGTGATGCGCTATGTGGTTTGGTTGAGTCTGGAAAGTCGGTTTGTCCGGGGACTAAGTCCGCTTCCCGCAAACGAGACACGTCTTGTTACTATTATATATATATATATATATATATATATATGAGAGAGAGAGAGAGAGAGAGAGATTGTGTACTTTCTTTTTAGACTGCTTTTTACAAAGCCCTCTAGCGAGTATTAATAGATCACTGGTTGACAAAGTAGTGTAATCCCCAAAATATGATTGCCCCCCCCTCTCAAGCAAAAGGGGCTGCCGTCTGCATTGCGTACCTCGACAGTAAAATACTCGTTACGCCAGAATGAAATTCGAACGGAGAACGCAAAGAAACATAATCAGCCATTTTTATCCAAATCCTTGAAGTTGGTTGAACAGACAGTTATAATCCGAACAGTGGAAGAGTTCATTAAAATGGGGGGGGGGCGGAGGAAGCTTGTGAATTGGACAGCACAAACGTCTGCAATAACCTCTGCCCACCGATTTCACTACGACTGTTTATCGGCTCCATCATTTTACGCGTCAGTTCCTCGGAGATTCAGATCATGGTTAAATATGTCGACATTGCACGTTCAGTTAGAATGCTGTCTCCATACTGATTTGCAAATTTTCAATAACAATATTGACAAGACAAATGATTTCTATTATATCTTTCTCGTCAAGCAACCAATGTAAACTGGGCTAAATACATTTCACCAGACGTTGTCCAACCAAAGCATAAACGAACACTTGCATAATGAAGTTTCTCATACCAGAACTGCAGGTCACACAGTACTGGATTCGGCCTGAGTATATGATGAATTATATACTGCCATGAAATCTACAGGTTACTCGATTCAACTTGCAATTTAATACACTTGACAAATTGAAGATAAAGTATATTTTTAAACCTTCAACTAGACCCAAATTCTATTTGATCATTGGATTAGGCCGAGAACTTTTCTGTATATACGTTTCTGCTTACTAAGCGTACAGTTTAGCAAAAGAACAAAAATATAAGCACCTAGTGAGGACCGAACTTACTATACATTATCTAAAAGCCCAGCTTGCTGACTATTTAGCAACGACGAGGCAACATGTCTGTGTGTATACAACACACAGACATTATCTTAGAATAAAATATTTTAGTAGCATAGTGATTTCCCACCTGATGAAACGTTAGAAAATGTTTTTTAACGTTAAAACAAGATGTACAGTTTTGTAGTGGGTATGTGCATAATAAATAAATAAATATTATTGATCTACTTTTGTATTGAGCCCCGATTTAAATTAATGCCTTGAGCGCTGAAATCTTACTCTTCGTTCTCTTACATTTGGATATAATATATGAAGAAATATAGTTTTAAGGTGTGCTTTATTTATGGGATAAAGTGCTCAATATCAGAGATAGAGCGTGTGTAAATATAAAAGTGAACATTGAAAACACAGAGGCGACAAGCTGTTTCATGCTAGATGCAATCGTCGTGGTCTGACGATTGCGTCTAGCATGAAACAGACTGTCGCCTCAAAGTGTTGACTTCAACGTTTACTTATATATATGTGGTTTTCAAACGTTTTGCTGGAGCGGAACCACAAGGAAACATTCCAGTGGCTCAAGGAATCCCTGCAATAAATTGTCTTATGCAAAAAAAGCTTTCAATTATTAAATACTCATCTTCAGATTCATTTACAAAAAATACAAAGACAAACTGTAAAAATATTGTAGACGTCCATATGCAATTTTAATCTTGCTTTTACGGTTATTACACATGTATTAAAAAAAACTTTAGTTTAAATGTAATCCATTTATTATCATTAAAAATTCAATGAGAAACTTGAGCCTGATGTTTCTTGCACAAATCTTTAATATTGGGTCATGTTTTTGACAGACACACACGAAGATCATCTTCCACACATATCTGCAAAAATTAAATATTCCTGTCAATCATAGTACTTGTATAACTTCTTGCGGAACCCCTGGGCTTCACTGGCGGAAAACCACTGATTATATATATATAGTTTATGAAAAACTAGGTAATCCGTATGGGTAAACCTAAGGAGGATAAAATCCAGAGAGCTCAATGTAAATCCAGAGCAAATAACTCACTCATGTCTTCTCTCTCTCCCTTCACTTTCTCACTTCGTTAATTTACATATGTTTAATACGGCCCGTCAAAAATGTGTAAATTTTCTTTTCATTTTTTGTTTGGAAGTAAAGTTTGATGATCCACAGTCCTTTTAAAAGGGCTGTGGTGAAATAATTTATTACATGGAACCTTAAAGTGGTCTGTTTTTATTTAATTTATATATATATATATGAGAGAGAGAGAGAGAGAAAATTATATATAAATTTTTAAGATATATGAATAGAAATACATAGGGAATACTTTTAAGCTCTTTCAAGACTAATTATTTCATATCCAAAATGAAACAAAAACCTTGTAAAATATTTAAAAATAGAAGAGTGAACCATTCTGTCAAACGCAACGAATCAAAATCTATTCTTCGACTCACCAACTTTATCGCAACCACAATCGAAAAGGATTTATCTGATCTTAACATAAAATTTATTACAACTACTTCTGAAAAAATAGCAGACAATTCAAAATTGAAACTAAACTTGAAAGAGCAATTTACTTTATCACCTGTAATAATTGCCACAGTAAATACATGGGTGAAACCTCAAGGAATTTAGAATATATACACACAAAAAGGATCTTTTATAAAACATAGTCAATACATTAGTTGCTTGCCATAATAAGTGACCATAATTTTGATTTTAAAAATTCTACTTTAATTAAAAGAGAAAGCAATTTACTCAGAGGAAAATGTATAGAAAGTGCTAGAATCGCTAGATCATCCACAATAAATTTGCGTTCAGGTTCTTAGAACAATTCTCCTTTCTTGGCAGATCTTCTATTATCACAATGTGCGATATTTATCAACGAAAGTGATGGAAACATTAAAAAAGAAAACCTCAAAGCCCCTCCCCAAAAAAAAACAGCTTGACTATATACCCAAACACATTAAAAAAAAAAGAAACTAAAGTGTCCCCTCTCCTCCGTGTGCATGTGTAATTACATCAACGTAAATATCACTTTCATCCGATGACGTCCTAAATGATGAAACGCATTACACGAAAATTTTCCCGTTTTTCATATATATATATATATATATATATATATATATATATATATATATATATATATATATATATATGCGTGTGAGTGTGTAAGTTTAGCTTTGACAGAGAGACAGGAGATTAAATGATGTGAAATATTCCAAACGCAGAATCTGTCAGTCTTGAAAATCGAAATTCAATGTTTTGCTTTTTGGGGAAGGAGAAAAGAAGGAAGGAGAATAAGGAGAATATTCTTTCAAGACGAATTTAGATTAGACCAGCAATGGAATATTACAGCTATATCTGGCCTGGCGCTGCTCAGTCCTCACTTTAAGGACATTCAAAATCGTTTACGCGGCCTTGTGGGTGATGAACTATACTTCACGCTTCAACCTTTTCTTCTCACAAATGCAACATTGTAAGTCTATCATTAATCTCTTTGGATTTTAATGGCAAATATTCAGATAATCTCCATACTATAGTTCTACGAGTTCAGCCATTTGCAACCATGACTCACCTTGCCACTTCCACGGAGTTGTATCAACCTCATTTTCTCTGTATCTCAAATATAAGAACGTTCCACTCTGATAGTTCCCCCCCTCAAAAACTGCCACTTTATGGAAGAGACTCCCGTGTAGTTGCTTCCCTAAACTTTAATTCTGACGTCTCTAAGTTAGAGTCAAACATGTTTCCTCTTTTATTTATATCAAACACACCATTTAAGGCTGACATTTTCTTAATGTTGTAGAGTAGTTTTCACAGTGGAGGCTTGTATTTCACTAAGTCGGTCCTAAAAAGGTTCGACGTACAAAACGTTAGGAACTTGATATAATAGTTAATGACGCAGCAATCTAGTTGTGGTGGTTGATACTTTAATGTCCGACATCGACTGAGTTAGAAAGAAAGAGAAGAAAAAGAAAAAGTGTTTTCGTACTAGAGTTTTTGGCATTGCTAATAAGGATGATTATGTTACTGACAAAGAAATTACTTTGGGTTCCTGCCATGGCGATCTTTAAAGGCCAAGTCATGGTGCAAGTCGGAGCCAGAACTGGAGGCCTGTCTCAAATATCGCCCAATGGAAACGAAAATTTTTGGTTTCTGTTTGCGGTTTGTTTTAGAAATTCAAAAAGTAGACATTAAGCGCATACTTAAGTTGGCTCGAAAAGTTAATCCTCTTTATCTTGGTATATTTTTTCTTTACAAAAAGGTTTTATTACAATTAATGTATATTTTTGGTATAACTTCGGATTCATCATTTCCTGCCCCGTTAAAAAAATGGTGTAGGAAATTCATTTTAATGTTTGAATTAATTATCCACGTTAAAACAGTTTTAATGAAACAAATACCATACCGGAAGCATAAATTCTGTAGCAAAAATATGACATGAAACAAAATAAACATGAAAGTAACTCATTATGAAATGGACAAAATTCGACAATTATTTTAAGAATTTTTTTTATGTTTATACGTTCTTTTTTATAGATACAAATATTTAAGTAAATGCTCTGTTTGTAATAAAAAGTATTAACGACATTTACCGGCCTGAACTTTTCTATAAAAATTTATCGGACATTCGGGACGGTAAATGTCGTTAATACTGTTTATTACAAACAGAGCATTTACTTAAATATTTGTATCTATAAAAAAGAACGTATAAACATAAAAAAAATTCTTATGAAAGTAACTATTTTATTTGTTTTATTGTTATTGTATTAAAGTAACTCTTGTTATGCGGACTTATTCAGTCATAAATATACTTTTTATGATTATACAATATCTAAAAATATCGGAGTAAATTTATTGAATTTAATTACATAACATTCTTAATAAATGATTTTCCATTGA